GGTTATAGTAAGTGTGTATGCACCTGGAGAAGAGAGAAGTGTAGAGGAGAGAGAGAGAGAGAGATTTTGGGAAATGTTGAGTGAATGCGTGGGGAGTTTTGAATCAAGTGTGAGAGTAATGGTGGTTGGGGATTTTAATGCGAAAATGGGGTAAAAATGTTATGGAGTAGTAGGCAAATTTGGGGTGCCAGGGGTAAATGTAAATGGGGAGCCTTTAATTGAGCTATGTGTAGAAAGAGATTTGGTAATAAGTAATACATATTTTATGAAAAAGAGGATAAATAAATATACAAGGTATGATGTACCATGATGTAATGAAAGTAGTTTGTTAGATTATGTATTGGTGGATAAAAGGTTGATGGGTAGGCTCCAGGATGTACATGTTTATAGAGGGGCAACTGATATCTCGGATCATTATTTAGTTGTAGCTACAGTTAGAGTAAGAGGTAGATGAGAAAAGAGGAAGGTGGCAACAACAAATAACAGGGAGGTGAAAATGTATAAACTAAGGGAGGAGGAAGTTCGGGTGAGATATAAGCGACTATTAGCAGAAAGGTGGGCTAGTGCAAAAATGAGTAGTGGGGGGGTTGAAGAGGGTTGGAATAGTTTTAAAAATGCAGTATTAGAATGTGGGGCAGAAGTTTGTAGTTATAGGAGGGTGGGGGCAGGAGGAAAGAGGAGTGATTGGTGGAATGATGAAGTAAAGGGTGTGATAAAAGAGAAAAAGGTAGCTTATGAGAGGTTTTTACAAAGCAGAAGAGTTATAAGAAGAGCAGAGTATATGGAGAGTAAAAGAAAGGTGAAGAGAGTGGTGAGAGAGTGCAAAAGGAGAGCAGATGATAGAGTGGGAGAGGCACTGTTAAGAAATTTTAATGAAAATAAGAAAAAATTTTGCAGTGAGTTAAACAATTTAAGAAAGCCTAGGGAAAGTATGGATTTGTCAGTTACAAACAGAGTAGGGGACTTAGTAGATGGGGAGAGGGAGGTATTAGGTAGATAGCGAGAATATTTTGAGGAACTTTTAAATGTTGAGGAAGAAAGGGAGGTGGTAATTTCATGCACTGGCCAGGGAGGTATACTATCTTTTAGGAGTGAAGAAGAGCAGAATGTAAATGTGGGGGAGGTACGCGAGGCATTACATAGAATGAAAGGGGGTAAAGCAGCTGGAACTGATGGGATCATGACAGAAATGTTAAAAGAAGGGGGGGATACAGTGTTGGAGTGGTTGGTACTTTTGTTTAATAAATGTATGAAAGAGGGAAAGGTACCTAGGGATTGGCGGAGAGCATGTATAGTCCCTTTACATAAAGGGAAAGGGGGCAAAAGAGACTGTAAAAATTACAGAGGAATAAGTTTACTGAGTATACCAGGAAAAGTGTACAGGGTTATAATTGAAAGAATTTGAGGTAAGACAGAATGTAGGATTGCGGATGAGCAAGGAGGTTTCAGAGTGGGTAGGGGATGTGTAGATCAAGTGTTTACATTGAAGCATATATGTGAACAGTATTTAGATAAGGGTAGGGAAGTTTTTATTGCATTTATGTATTTAGAAAGGGCATATGATAGAGTGGATAGGGGAGCAATGTGGCAGATGTTGCAAGTATATGGAATAGGTGGTAAGTTATTAAATGCTGTCAAGAGTTTTTATGAGGATAGTGAGGCTCAGGTTAGGGTGTGTAGAAGAGAGGGAGACTACTTCAATGTAAAAGTGGGTCTTAGACAGGGATGTGTAATGTCACCATGGTTGTTTAATATATTTATAGATGGGGTTGTAAAAGAAGTAAATGCTAGGGTGTTCAGGAGAGGGGTGGGATTAAATTATGGGGAATCAAATACAAAATGGGAACTGACACAGTTACTTTTTGCTGATGATACTGTGCTTATGGGAGATTCTAAAGAAAAATTGCAAAGGTTAGTGGATGAGTTTGGGAGTGTGTGTAAAGGTAGAAAGTTGAAAGTGAACATAGAAAAGAGTAAGGTGATGAGGGTATCAAATGATTTAGATAAAGAAAAATTGGATATCAAACTGGGAAGGAGGAGTATGGAAGAAGTGAATGTTTTCAGATATTTGGGAGTTGACGTGTCGGCGGATGGATTTATGAAGGATGAGGTTAATCATAGAATTGATGAGGGAAAAAAGGTGCGTCGAGGTATATGTGGAGTCAAAAAACGTTATCTATGGAGGCAAAAAAGGGAATGTATGAAAGTATAGTAGTCCTAACACTCTTATATGGGTGTGAAGCTTGGGCTGTGAATGCAGCAGCGAGGAGATGGTTGGAGGCAGTGGAGATGTCCTGTCCAAGGGCAATGTGTTGTGTAAATATTATGCAGAAAATTCGGAGTGAGGAAATTAGGAGAAGGTGTGGAGTTAATAAAAGTATTAGTGAGAGGGCTGAAGAGGGGTTGAGGTGGTTTGGTCATTTAGAGAGAATGGATCAAAGTAGAATGACATGGAGAGCATTTAAATCGGTAGGAGAAGGAAGACAGGGTAGGGGTCGTCCTCGAAAAGGTTGGAAGGAAGGGGTAAGGGAGGTTTTATGGGCGAGGGGCTTGGCCTTCCAGCAGGCGTGCATGAGCGTGTTCGATAGGAGTGAATGGAGACAAATGGTATTTGGGACCTGACGATCTGTTGGAGTGTAAGCAGGGTAATATTTAGTGAAGGGATTCAGGGAAACCGGTTATTTTTATATAGCCGGACTTGAGTCCTGGAAATGGGAAGTACAATGCCTGCACTCTAAAGGAGGGGTTTCCGGATATTAGCAGTTTGGAGAGATATGTTGTGTATCTTTATACGTATATGCTTCTAAACTGTTGTGTTCTGAGCACCTCTGCAAAAGCAGTCAGTATGTGTGAGTGAGGTGAAAGTGTTCAATGATGACAGTATTTTCTTTTTGAGGATTTTCTTTCTTTTTTGGGTCACCCTGCCTCGGTGGGAGACGGCCGACTTGTTGCAAAAAAAAAAAAAGTTTACTGAGTATACCAGGAAAAGTGTAGAGTGGATAGGGGAGCAATGTGGCAGATGTTGGAATAGGTGGTAAGTTACTAAATGCTGTAAAGTTTTTATGATAGTGAGGCTCAGGCTAGGGTGTGTAGAAGAGAGGGAGACTACTTCCCGGTAAAAGTAGGTCTTAGACAGGGATGTGTAATGTCACCATGGTTGTTTAATATATTTATAGATGGGGTTGTAAAAAAAGTAAATACTAGGGTGTTCAGGAGAGGGGTGGGATTAAATTATGGGGAATCAAATACAAAATGGGAACTGACACAGTTACTTTTTGCTGATGATACTGTGCTTATGGGAGATTCTAAAGAAAAATTGCAAAGGTTAGTGGACGAATTTGGGAATGTGTGTAAAGGTAGAAAGTTGAAAGTGAACATAGAAAAGAGTAAGGTGATGAGAGCATCAAATGATTTAGATAAAGAAAAATTGGATATCAAATAGGGGAGAAGGAGTATGGAAGAAGTGAATGCTTTCAGATATTTGGGAGTTGATGTGTCAGCAGATGGATTTATGAAGGATGAGGTTTATCATAGAATTCATGAAGGAAAAAAGGTGAGTGGTGAATTGAGGTATATGTGGAGGCAAAAAATGTTATCTATGGAGGCAAAGAAGGGAATGTATGAAAGTATAGTAGTACCAACACTCTTATATGGGTGTGAAGCTTGGGTTGTAAATGCTGCAGCGAGGAGGTTGGAGGCAGTGGAGATGTCCTAAGAGCAATGTGTGGTGTAAATATTATGCAGAAAATTCAGAGTGTGGAAATTAGGAGAAGGTGTGGAGTTAATAAAAGTGTTAGTCAGAGAGCTGAAGAGGGTTTGTTGAGGTGGTTTGGTCATTTAGAGAGAATGGATCAAAGTAGAATGACATGGAAAGCGTCTAAATCTGTAGGGGAAGGAAGGTTGGAGGGAGGGGGTAAAGGTGGTGTTGTGGGCGAGGGGTTTGGACTTCCAGCAAACGTGCATGAGCATGTTACATAGGAGTGAATGGAGACAAGTGGTATTTGGGACCTGACGATCTATTGGAGTGTGAGTAGGGTAATATTTAGTGAAGGGATTCAGGGGAAACCGGTTATTTTATATAACCGGACTTGAGTCCTGGAAATGGGAAGTACAATGCCTGCACTCTAAAGGAGGGATTTGGCATATTGGCAGTTTGGAGAGATATATTGTGTATTTTTATACGTATATACTTCTAGACTGTTGTATTCTGGGCACCTCTGCAAAAAACAGTGATTATGTGTGAGTGAGGTGAAAGTGTTGAATGATGATGAAAGTATTTTCTTTTTGGGGATTTTCTTTCTCTTTGGACCACCCTGCCTTGGTAGGAGATGGCTGACTTGTTGAGAGAGAGAGAGAGAGAGAGAGAGAGAGAGAGAGAGAGAGAGAGATAGAGAGAGAGAGAAGAGAGAGTGAGAAAAAAAAAAAAAAAAAAAAAAAGACACCAAAAGTACGAAATTAGTCACGTCTCCAGACCCCTCCTATATTACTCTTGCTTTCCATTTTGATTTTTTATTCAAATAAAAAAATAGATTTACTGCATTATTACAATAATGCAGACTACTGCATTATTGTAATAATTGTATAAATAATGTCAATCCAGTCATGACTGCACATTAGACTGGCCAGTTGGACATGTATTGGATGGTGACGTCATTTGTTTACTCTTGAACATAAGAAAAATCAAACATTTCCGTTACTTTGAGCTCAGTTTCAAGGTACTTCTCATCGTGAAACCAATCAAAATCATTTCTATTTCTGTAATCACTCTGCTTATTCAGTAGAAAACACCCTAACTAGCTGGTTTGGCTTATTCGGCATGACACGTATAAATTTTATATTTACTCTTCAGTAAGTTAAATACAAGTATTAATGCTATAACTAAATACATGGCTATAATAATACTGTAAATTAAAAAATTTGTTCTAAAATTTGTACTGAATATGAAAATATTAACATGGATATGTAATGAAAAATTTAAAGCAATATAACAAACTCCATACTTGATGGATGATACCCGATCCAGGTTTCCAAAAGCCAACACCATACTTGGAACCTGCACTAGAGAGGAAGTTGTACACCTCTTTATTTATGTCTATGGCTCGCACCAAATCTTTGGGCCCATCAACCTAAAAAGCAAAATTAAGAAAAGTAATGAGATCAATGCCAAAGTTTAGAATGATTCAAAATCCACAAACAGAAGGACACAATTTAAATCCAGCATTAACATACCTGAGCTTGAATAAGATGATCACAATGGATTGTTGATGGCACAGCTACTCTAGGAAGACCAGAACTAATGAACTGTAACATGGCCATCTGCGCAGTTGCATCTTGCATTGCTACTCTGTCCGGTCGCAGCTTTAAATACGACTCCCCACGTACTATATCTTGGCCAGCAGGATCATCCAAATGTGAATACAATACCTTTTCTGATAGTGTTAGAGGACGATTCAATCTGGAAGTAAGAAATTGCTAATCAAAGAAGTGTAGTATACAAATATATGTAAATTGATTGCTTTTAACCCTTTGACTGTTTCGGTCGTATATAGTACACGACTTACGAGCCACCGTGTTTGACTTAAATATACATGTACTCATAAATTCTAGTGGCTTCAAATCAACCAGGAGAAAGCTGGTAGGCCCACATGTGAGAAAATGGGCCTGTGTGGTCAGTGTTACCTGGAGTTTACCTGGAGAGAGTTCCGGGGGTCAACGCTCCTGCTGCCCAGTCTGTGACCAGGCCTCATATAAAAAAAATCCTTAAGCACGCAGTGCATGAGAAAAAAAAAAGTCCGACCTTTTTTTTTAATTAAAATGCCAACTTCGTGGTCTATTTTCATATAGTATTTATGGTTGTATTCTCATTTTCTTGGTCTCATTTGATAGAATGGAAAACATATTATAGAAACAGAGGTGATTTTGATTGGTTTTACTATGAAAAGAACCTTGAAATGGAGCTCAAAGTAGGGGCAATGTTTGATTTTTGTAGATGGTCAAAAGTAAACAAATAGTGTCATTTTCCAATAAATGTCCAAGTAGCCATTCTAATATGCAGTCATGAATGGGCTGACATTATTTATACAATTATTACAATATTGCAGTAGTCTGCATAACAGTAAATCTTCTGTTTTTTGTTTGAATAAAAATTCAAAATAGAAAGCAAGAGTGGAGTATGTAAGCAAGCAGACGAACATGCCTGGTTATGGCTCATACACGTTCATTTCCATGTTCGTGACTAAGAAAGTTTTTATTCAGGTACAAGTACACACAAATACAGTTACATAGATTATCATACACAGCAGCATGTGCATAGATTGCCCAGGATAACCCAAAAAAAGTTAGACATAGTGACTTATTTCCATGTTTGTGAAGCATATACCATAATACAAACACATTACATTGTATACAAGTTGTCTCCATGTTGGTACAATAGAATAAATACATAAAGAGAAACACACCCATTCTCATGTAAAACAGCATTCTTAGAAGGAATGATGCTCTGAGTGAAGGCATATGAAAGGAATAATTTTCCACAGTTACTCCCAATAATACTATTGTGTACACATTTTCTTTGGTGTTGAACTATAGAAAATGTTATTCTTTATGACACTCCGACAAGACTAGAAAAACATTTCATATTATGTCAATTTATTCTGTGAGTGTATTTATCATGTTTATATGTTACATATTTATTTAGAAATTTTTAGCATACATACAGAGGTACAAAAAAAAATACAGGTAAGAGCAGCATGCCAAAGCCACTTATATGCATAGCATTACGGGCTGGCTTAAAATTAACTTAAGATTAACTAAGCAATGATGAAATTAGTGATAAGACATTATTGTAAACAGATAACTATAAAGCACAAATGAGTATTACAAAGACAGGTCATATGGTTGCATGCATTGCTGTTCATTCAGTAGAATGGAGTATTCTGTTAGGTAGTGTATTTAAAAAATAACAAAGTTAGATTGGGTCCTAGGTTTAACATTTATGTGATATAATTGTGAGTAACATTTTGGATATACAATTTATAAGGTTCAGTTATTCAGTATTTATTTGGTTTTGAGTGAGTAAGTGAACTTTGAGAAGAGACTTGAATTTATAAACAGGTAGTGTTTCTTTTATATTTACAGGTAATGAATTCCAGATTTTAGGGCCTTTTATGTGCATTGAGTTTTTGCATAGCGTGAGAGGGACACGAGGAACATCAAAAGCGTCTGTGCCTTTGTTTATGGTATTGTTCTTTTTTGAGGTTGGCAAGGAATTTTGGGGGGAGGGTTAATACAGAGTTAAGTGTTCTATAAAATGTAATAGGTAAATAAAAGTAGGATTTTTTGATGGTGAGTGGGTTGATGTTTTAAATATTGGGGGAGGTGTTCCCCTGTAGTGAAATTTGTTATCATTCAACGAAAGCCTTTTGTTGGGTAATTATGGTCTGAAGGTTAATTGTTGTTAAACCCAGCACAAATTCCATAGGTGAGATGGGGGAAAATTAGGGATAAAGGGCCAGGGGGGCGACTGGGGAACACAGAAACCGTATCTTCGATAGAGGGGCCACAGTCGGGAAAAATTTTCTTGAAATTTGTTGTATAGTGTATGAAATTTGAGTCTATTTATCAGGTGGATTCCAAAGAATTTTCCCTCTGTTAGCTTTGTATAGGTGACCTTTTATCGTTATTTTTAAGAGGTACATCTTAGCTCTGTTACCAAAACTAAAAGAAGTGGGTTTTTGTCAATTTTAGTGTAAGTTTTTTAGTCCAAACCAGGTAGATTTTTTTTCGAAATTTTCGGTTTTTTACAGTATTGGCAGCGTGACTGGGTTTCGGTGAGAGAAGACGTATGTAGTGTCATCTGCAAAAAATTTGGGGTTTTTGGAGTAATTGCAAAGCATTTGGTAGTCATTTATTATAGGAGAAAGAGAAAGGGCCCAAAGGGACATTTCCCCTGTGGGAACCAATTTAAATTTGGTTTGGGAAGAGCTTGCCCCATTTGCAAACACATATGGCTTCTGTTGCGAGGTAAGACTTGAGGTAGTTGGGGGAGTGCCCCTAAACCATAGTGTGACAATTTTACGTGGAGCAAGCATGGTCAACTGTACAAAAGTTTTTAAAACGTAAAAGTCAATGAAAACCCCAGGGACTTCTTTTTTTCCATTGCAGTGTATAAGTTCGCATGGTATAATGCTCATTAGATTTTTATTAGGCCGAATCCAAATTGGCAGGGTTGAGATGTTCGGGGAGATAAAGGTGGAGTAGTTTTCTTTTTATGAATTAATTTTTTGGAAGATTTTTGAGAGAGGGTGTAAATTGGATTTTGCCATAGTTATTCAACCTGTTTGGGTTCTCCTCCTTTTGGATGGGGGTGACCCTTGCTTTTTTGAGAACGTAGGGAAGGTGGGGGATTAAATGATTTTTTTAAAGGGGTTTTGCAATGATTGGGTGATAGTACTTGTGACGCTTTTTTGTATATAAAGGGTGTAAGGTTTTTAAATCCCTGCCTTTTTTTTTCATGCGTTAAAAATAAGGGAGACTTGTATGGGTTAGCCCGGAGCTAGGAACGTGTGTTCGGGTATTGCCAGTGAGGATCTTTTGGGGGTATCGAGCTTGGGTTTTTTATTTGAAAGGGTTTTTTGACCTATAGTGGAGAAAAATCATTGAGTCGTCTGCTGTTTCTGTTGGTGGGGTTGGGGTTCATCTGATTTTGCTAATTTTTTTCGCTATGTTTAATATCTTTTTTGCCCCCAGAATTTCTGATGGGGTTTTTCCCAGTCTTTTTTATATCACCCGAAGTTGGATAATCTTTCTCAAAATACAATTTTTTTGCCTTTTTATCAGGCTGGTTGGGATTGACGAGTAACGTTTTTTTTTTCTCGGGTTTTATGTACCCATTCTTACTGTTTTTCATTTTGGTTTTTGTATTTGGATTTAGAATGCTGGGGTTAGCCAGGGACTGTTCAGTCTCTTAGCTGTCATCTGTTTAGTTTTTTTTGGGGCATCTTGTTAAAAAGGTTTTTGGGTTTTTTTAAAGAAAATTAAAAAACTTTTCGTCAATATTTTATAGTTTTCTAGCCCATGTGCCACAATGTTTGTTACTGCTGTTGTGAAGTTTTAAATGGCTGCCCATTGGAATCTAAAGGGTGACTTTAGTATTGTTTTGGGGGTTTTTTACCAAGAGTTAGGGGAAAAAGTAGGGTAGTGGTCGGGTTTTATCTTAATTATGCCTGTTTTTTAAAGGGGGGTTTGGGTGTTGGTCCAGAATGGGTAAATAGGGAAACACTAGTCCTGTAACTCTTGAGGTTTTGTTACGTTGGTAGCAACATGCAGTTACTCATTGTGTTTGTGAATTCAGTAACGGGGGGGTCCGGTCTTGCGGGAATTTTTTAATTGAGTCACCTGAGGTAGAAAAGGATTTTTTGTTCATGCGTGCATCGTTTATCATACTTCCTAGGTTTTGAAAAAATTTTGGCTAATTTTTTGATTGGGGAACTCTGTGATGTTTATCACTGTGAAGGTTTTTTGTGGGTATTTGGATTTGAATTTAGCTTTTATATTTTCCCCCATGTTCACCCTGTGCAAGTATTGTGATACATTCTATTGGTCTGATATTATAGCATGCCACCCCCTGTTGGTCTGGCCAAAGTTGTGTAGGGCTGTGAAACCGGGAAAGGCATAGACATCTGTAGTATCGGGGCTTTAGCCAGGTTTCATTAGGTAATGATGGACAATTGGCATGAAAGGGAAATTTAGAAATGCTAGGAGGTCATCATAACTTGCTTAAGATCTGATTTGTATTTTAAAGATAGTTATGTTTTTGTTGGCTCTGAAAAAAAAAGTGCCTTTGAATTTTCTGCTGTGTATAATTACAGTAACTGTTTGAATCTTTTAAAGTCATTAAAGAGGTTGGTACAGGATCAATGCTTGTAATCATAAATTTGTATTAAATCATGTTAAATTAAGTAAAAAATAAAGTAAATATTCAAAAGCAAAAAAAAAATAGCACCTGAATTATTTAACAAATGTAAAAAAATGAAAAAGGTAGTTTTTTAAAGCTAAAATAAAGAACAATATAAAAGGGACTAAAAAAATTTTGTGAACAAATAAAGGATTACAAATAATGGGGCTTGGGGGAAAATGATAGTAGGGGTACTTTAAAGGGAATTCCCTTTTAAAATTTTAAATTATTTTAAAAGTTATTATTTTTTAAAAATTGTGAATATAAGAGCTAAGGTATTATAAAAGCTAAAAAAAGGAAAAAAAAAAATATAAGGGACACAATTAAAAAGGTAAACAAGTTAAATGGACAGAATCACTAAAATAATATGGTTTTGGAGTAAGATCTGATTTTTTAATATTAAATAAGTTGGAGTTTATTTCACAATAAAAATAAAAAAAAAAAAAGGTAGTTGGTACAGCTACCAAAAAATAGTTTTTGGTACTTTCAAAAAAATAATT